TGTTCACAAAAGAACCAACTGAGTCTTGTGTCCCTTTTCTGACCTTGTTCTTATTTCAACTGCCAAGATGAACATCTTCAGAGATCTCAGTTCATCACCTAGACATCAGATGTAACATGCAAATTTAAATATCGACCAATGGAGACCGAATTTTTATTTCAATCTCCCTTTTCATAGGAGACCAGAGTCGGAATCTGAATGGAACTTTCCTTTAGAATTCCCACCGCTCTTCCTCCCCTCCCATCCTCCCCCCACCATGCTGGGGACTTGACAGTGACAAATGCTCCTCATAGGCTCACATATTTGAACACTTGTTCCCCAGTTGGCCACACTGTTTGGGGAGGCTATGGAGCTTTTGGGACTGGAGCCTTGCTGGAACAAGTATATCATGGGGGGTGGAGGGTGTGGGTGTGGGTGTGGGGGGGTGTGAGATTCAGGAGCTTATATCTTTGCCCACTAGCAGTTTGCTCTCTCTATGGATTATTATGGACTCCTGGGAACCATAAACCAAATTAGACACATTTGTCTCTTAAAAAAAAAATGACAGGGTTTAGCATGATGTGGTGACACATACCTTTGTAGGTGTAAGTCATTAAACCGGATGGGAAGTTTTTCCTTAGAGTAGTACAGAGTCAGTCTGCCTGCTTCTGCTCTTAAGTGCTGGTATCAAAGGTACACACCATCACCCCTAGTCAGCTAAAGCTTTACATTTTTATTTCTTTATTTATATACATGGTTTCTCTGTTTATCTCTGGCTGTCCTGGAACACACTCTATAGACCAAGCTGGTCTCAAATTCAGAAATCTACCTGCCTCTGCCTCTGGAGTGCTGAAATTATAGGCCAGTACTGCCCAGCAAGCTTTAATTTTTTTTTTTAATTTTATTTTGGGGACTGGAGAAATAGCTCACTCATCGTTTAAAAGCACTTGCTGCTCTTATAGAGGACCTAACTTTGGTTCCCAGCACCCAATTTAGATGTTTCACAATTGCCTATAACTATAGCCCCTAAGATATGATCCAATAACCTCCTCTGGTCTCTGCAGGTACCCATACACATGTGACACACACACACATGCATATATATAAAAATGACTTTCTGAAAATTTAAAAATTGAGACTGGAGAGATGCTTCAGCAGTTAAGAGCACTGACTACTCTTCCAGAGGATCCAGGTGCATGTCCCAGCATCCACATTGCAATTCACACCTCTCCATAACTCCAGTTCCAGGGCTTGTGACACACACCCGTGCAGATATACGTGCAGGCAAAACACCAATGAACATAAAATAAAAATAAAAAAAGGGAAAAAATTAGAAAGTTCTTAGGGCTGGGCATTTAATCCCCAGCACTTGAGACACAGAGATAGGCAGATCTCTGCGAGTTCAAGGCTAGCCTGGTCTACATAGTGAGTTCCAGGAGGGAGGAAAAAAAAAAAAGAAAAAAAAAGTAAAGAAAAATATGACTCAGCAGGTGAGGGCCCTTGCCACTGAAGCTGATTGAGTTCCATTCCCAGAATTCACAGGGCAGGTGTGAGCTGGCTCCTGCGACAGCGGGTGCTTTCCTCCCCATGGGAACATTTAAAAATGTCTATTATTTTGTTGAGACTGGCTCTCACCACGTAGCCCTGGGTAGCCTGGAACTCATTATATAGACCAGGCTGGTCTCAAACTTACAGAAATCTGCCTTGTTTTTGCCTCCTGAATGCTGGGTTAAAGATGTACCTCATTGTGCATAGGGGGAAAAAAAAAGCCGGATGGTGGTGGCACACGCCTTTAACCCAGCACTCAGGAGACAGAGGCAGGCGGCTCTCTGTGAGTTCGAGACCAGCCTGGTCTACAGAGTGAGATCCAGAACAGGTACCAAAACTACACAGAGAAACCCTGACTCGGAAAAAAAAAAAAACAAAAACAAAAACAAACAAACAAAAAAAAAAAGGAAAAAAATTATGCATGGACATGTTTGTGGTGTGCACCATGTTCAAAAGTGTGGGGACACGTGTGCACTTGCACATGTATGTGCAATGTGGGCAGAAGTTAGAGTTTGCAATAGAATATCTTCCTTGATCTCTCTCTCTTCTCTCTCTTTCTCTCTCTCTCTCTCTCTCTCTCTCTCTCTCTCTCTCTCTCTCTCTCTCTCTCTCTCTCTCTCTCTCTCTCTTAAAAACTGAGGCAGTGTCTCTTGCTGTGAACCGGGGCTGGCTGATTCAGCTAGTCTATAAGTCTATAGCCAGCTTGTCCTGCAGAGTCAGGACTCTACTTCTGGAACTGGCATTACAACAGATGAGCTGCCCGGACTCAGCGCTGGAAACGCTGACCCTCTGCAAGAGTAGTGAGTGCTCTTCATCACTGAGCTACCTCTTCAGCCCCTTGTGCAGATTTTGTGAGTGCCTGTAAACACAGCTTCTGTGAGGTGATGTGCACAACGGGTGCATCATGTTGGAAAGACAACATTTCACAGCTCTCCTCCCACACTGTCAGTTCTTACATTGTTCTGGCCCTCTTCTGAGTTCCCTGAAGCTTGGGTGGGGGAGGTTGGTGTAGACCACTCATCAGCAGTTGAGCACTCACAGTTACTTATTCTCAGAATTTTGACTGGTTGTGGATCTCTGCAGTAACCACTGTTGGATCCCAAAGTTTAGGGTCACAAGTGGGTGCCCCAAGAACCCAGACTCCAGTCCAGTTGATGCAACAGCATGAGGATTTTATTAAAGAAACATCTGTACAGATGGGCAAACTCGGCTCCAAAGAGCAAGAGTCGAATCTTACTGCAGCCCCATAAGGGCTTTTAAAGGAAAAACCCACAAAAGTCATAAGATTACAATTCCCATACAATTTCGTTTTACAAGAACATGGTCTGATCACAGGGTGATCACAGAGGGGGTACAGTTACATAAACCTCAAGGGGGGTATCAGGGTGGGAGTGGAGTACAGGTCACGGTGGTCCTTCCTGGAACACCTGCAACTATCCCAGTCACAGTTGAGCACATCTCTTAACAGAAATCTTTTTACATGCTATGTTGTTACAGGGGTGATTGAGTAGTGGCTGAGTCAGGTTGCCCTGGGAACTAGATTTTTAGTTTCTCATTTCCTGGTGCTTGAAGTTTCTCTCTTTCTGAGGCTTGGGGGTGTAAGCCTGAAGGGCTAGGGTCTTTCACCACTACATCAACGTGCAGCAGAGAAACGTTTCTCTGACCAGACAGTTGAGAACAACACAAATCTGGGTATAAATATACATATTTAGAAGGCAGTTTGACAGCATGATCGTTTAGCACAACAGCACTCCTAGTGCACATCTGTAACCCCAGCACTCCTAGGGAGACTTTTCCTCCTAGTGACATATTTCCACACGCATACAGACAAGCTTAATGAAATTCACTGGGTCACAACAAATGATGCCTATCTTAGGGTTTCTGTTGCTGTGATAAAACCCCATGACCAAAAGCAACTTGGTCAGTTCACATCACCGTGTATCACTGAAGAAAGGGCAAGAATCAAGGCAAAAGAAACCCGGGGGGCAAAAACTGAAGCAGACGACATGGAGAAGGAATGTTGTTCCATCTCCTGCACCCACGACCACTCAGGGGCGGTACCACCCTCAGGGCTGAATCTCCACCACAAACAAAACGACCTCAGGATCCAACGGTAGACATTATTAAAGATGTGGTTTCTTAAAATAGTGTGGGTCTACAACCCAAATATCGTAAGAACATGGTACCTTTCAGTTTCGCATCATTTAAGGGCAGTATACTACCAAACATTTTAATATTTTAACGACCATTGAATAACTAACAAAACTCTTCACAGAGAAACCCTGTCTCGAAAAACAAAAAAAAAAAACAAAAAAAACAAAAAAAAACTCTTAATAGTTAGGTTGTGGTAGTTCTATTAGTGTGCAAGAACCACTGTCATCATAAGTCAAAATATTCTGTTTTTAAACTTTCAAAATCAGGGGAGAGCGCGAACGCAGTCCCCCACTACCACAAATTATGCAGTCGAGTTTCCCGCATTTGGGGAAATCGCAGGGGTCAGCACATCCGGAGTGCAATGGATAAGCCTCACCCTGGGAAAACCACCTTCGTGATCATGGTATCTCCCCTGCCAGGTAAGTATGAGTTCTTTGGGCCGGGCCCAGGCTCTCCATCATTACAGACATACGCAACACTTACGGTCTTTTCTTTACTATGCCTTCTTTCCCTCCCATTCCCTTGATCTAACGGTGCACTCTTAAAACACCCTAGACCTCATGTGAATCTTATCCATCTACGGCGTGGGAAGTCTACGTGCGGTGAACCGGCATCCTCTGCGTGCATGTCATTTACATGCACTACGCCTCTGTGGTGACGTTGCGGGAACGCGTGTGTGGGACACTAAAGTAAGACTCCGCCCGCTAAGGCTGGAGGCCAGAGGGTCGGGGCTTGTTGTTGATTGACGGTCAAGTCTGGAAACCAAAAGGGAGGTGAAAACGTATCTTCGAGGTCCGGGGCTGCCCAGGGGCTCACAGGCTTTGGGCAAAAAAAAAAACCCTTCTAGCTCGTCGTTTCCGCCAGCGGATGGAACTCATCCTCACAAGATTCAGCTCTAGGAGATTCAACCTTGTAATGTTTAAGTACTTATAGAAAATCTTTTTTTCCATGGTATTTTTCTGAGTTCTATCATTTATTTGCACACAGTCACTAAGACTAATAAAAACCTGGGGAGAAAGGCCAAGATAATAACTTGGAAGGAAGAAATCAGAGTGGGTGGTGGCACACAACTGTAATCTCAGCGCTCCGCAGGTCAAGGTGGGCGGAGCGAAGTCAGCCTGGGCTACACGGCGAGTTTCAGGTCAGTGAGACCAGTGCGACCGCCTCGAAAACTAAAGCAACAACAACAACAACAACAAAAATCCATAAAAAGACAACTGCTGTTTTCAGCGGAAAAGAAAACGCAAAGTACCGAGGTGATCCCGTCCCCGCTTCGCAGCTTGGGAAGGCCTGCGCAGGCGCACCGGAAGGACTCGGGTTACGAGCGGAAGTCGAGTCTCCGGACGCTTTAGGGAAGGAACCCGCGGAGTACACAGACGCCGGGGCCGTCCGTGGTCCCCGTAGGCTCCCTTAGGCCGCCATGAACCGGCTCCAGGATGACTACGACCCCTACGCGGTGGAAGAGCCGAGCGACGAGGAGCCGGCTCTGAGCAGGTGGGCCGCCGCCCCGCGGTGTCCGCCCGGCCTTGGCCGAGGCCGTTGTGCTCGACGCGCCTGCCGAGCCTGGGCGCCGCGTCGCCCGCTTCGCTTGTAGGAGCCTCGGGGTGCCTGGTGAGGCTGCTCAGTCTCTGGGGAGCCAGGACGGACAGCAGTGCGGGAAGAGGGGTGTCCCGGAATCACGCGGGCCCCGAGCGTAAATCCTCAGATGGAGCCCTGCTTCTTACCGTTTTACTAGCACTGGGACTGAAGGCAAGTCGGTTCTCGGCTTCGCATCTGTAAATGGAAAATACGAGTGTGGAACTGGTGAGGGCCACGGGCCTTAGCATGAGGTACTCATCTGGAAGACTGTCAAATAGAAATAACGGAATACTGAACGGGGAGTTTTTTTGGGTTATGATAGAGATACATACAAAATTCTTGTCTTCCATGGGCTTATCTTATAACGGGGAATGAAGTGCGTATCTTCGAAGGCCATCGTAGATGACCTCTGATAGGCATAGATGAAGTTCTGTGGTACTTTTGGAAAGGGAGTATTTATCCTACTTGAGGGGAACTTGGAGTGTTTTTACTTACACACATCTATATCTTTCCCCCCCTTTTCTTAAAACCTTGCTGAGTATTAAACCAGGATATTTTTATCTATATATATATATTTTTTATTTCAATTTTAGTTTTGAGACACAGTCTCATTGTGTAGCTCTGCCTGGCTTGGAACTCACTCTGTAGACCAGGTTGGCCTTGGATTCAGAGATCCACCTGCCTTTGCTTCTAAGTGCTGGTGTTAAAGGCTCGCACACACACACCTGGCTTCTTTACCCCTCTATTAACCTAGATTCTAGAACAGTGGTTCTCAACCTTCCTAATGCTGGGACCCTTTAATATGGCTCTTCATGTTGTGGTGATCCTCAACCATAAAATTATTTCGTTGCTTTAATATGGCTCTTTATGTTGTGGTGATCCTCAACCATAAAATTATTTCGTTGCTTGTCTGGGTGCTCTGTGTTGTGTGGGTTGGTCAAAGAAAGAAGGTCACTCCAAGACGAATTTTAGGCTTTCTGGCAGCAGGGAGGAACAGTTTCTATGAACTGAACCCTGAATAACTGTACAAAGATGTATTTATTGATTGTTACACAGAAGTTGGTTTTTTTCTTTGAGTAAAACAAGTTCCCCATCCCAAAGCCCCTGATCTAAAGTCATATGTCCTTCTGAAGAAAACATCACACCTATGCCCCTTTAGTCCTTACTATGTACTGTTTGCAGTACCCAATAATCCAGGGTATCTAGGTGTGCCCGGACCATCTTGTGACCAAAGTCATGCAAAGGCTCTAAAGCTCCTTCAGAAAGACAACTCCATAGATAGCAGCAAAGGCTCACTGTTTTCCACAATGATTTCTTCAAGGTCAAAGTACTTCGAGAAAACAACTACTCCTTTTGAAGTTTACCTTTGATACAATGAAAAACAACTGTTTCATTCTAATGTAGATACAATGATTCTACTAATTCTTCTTGCTACAGTTGCTACTTTATAATTTTGCTGTTATAAAGCATAATGTAAATATGTATATGCAGGGTATCTGCTATGTGACTCACAAGGGGGTCGAGGACGTGGGTTGAGAACCACTGCAGAAAATTAAGGCATGCCCGCTGGGAAGACGATTTAATTTGTGTGAGCCTGAGGACCTGAGTTCTAGCCCCTGAACTTGTGTAAGAAGCTGGGTGTGTTAGTACTCTGTCTTTAATCCCAGCACTTGTGTGGTGAGATAGGAGGTGGAGACAAGGGGAGACGGATGCCATCAGAGGCTTGAGGATAGCTACCCTGTCGTATACTGCCAGAAACAAGAAAGACCCTTCCTTCACAAGGCAAAAGGCAAGAACCAGTTTCTCCAAGTTGTCTTCTGCCTTGCAAATGCACTTGCACACATAACAACAGACGCGACGTGAACACTGAAAACAGTGAAGATACAGAACACGGTAGTACAAGGATCCCGTTTACTGCCTGCAAGAATGCTGTTCTCCTTCCTCTCTGCTCTTGGTACTCATGTGTCTCAGGCTGGCCTCAGACTTCTGCCTTATAGGTGTGCGTCACCACATTAGCTCTTTTTTTCCTCCTGCCTCCTGAGTGTTGGGATTACAGGTGTGCACCATTGTATCTAGCTCCCCTCTTGCTGCTGTTTTTGGTTTTTGTTTTTCGAGACAGGGATTCTCTGTGTAGCTCTGGCTGTCCTGGAACTTGCTCTGTAGACCAGGCTGGCCTCGAACTCAGAGATCTGCCTGCCTCTGCCTCCCCTGTGCTGGGATTAAAGTTGTGTGCCACTACCACCTGGCAAATAATATGTGCTTTATATTTTGGTCAGACTAGAGTATAGGAACAGTCTTCTTGCCTGAGCAGTACTGGCCTTTTTGGATAGGGACATAGAGGGTAATTAGTAGTGAGCAGTAAGGTGGGAAAGATACGTTGGAGCTTCCTTGTGGAAGGCATTTTGAATGCTGTGCTCAGAGAACTGGCTCCTGAGTTGGGTGATGATGTGATGAGAATCCTTTAGGAGTGCATTCTGCTGGTAGGATGGATGAGAGGGAGGAGAGAGAGACAGGAGACAGTTTTGAGGACAGGGTGTCCTTGACATATGTTGCTGGAGGCAGAGTTAAGTGAAAATAGTTGTGACTGTGGGAGTAATAGGGGAGTCTAGCGTGCTGGCCAATTTAAGGCATTTTCTTGGGAATAGATTCTGGTTAAAACCTTAGCCATTGTCAGGCGTGGTGGCACTTGCTTTTAATCCTGGCTCTTGGGAGGCTCTGTAAGTTCAGGCTAGTCAGGCTGCATGGTGAAACCCTGTCTCAAACAGGCAAACAGACAAGCAACCCACCCTTAGTCATCAGCAAAATTCACTGGAGTGGATTGCATTTTTCTGATTAATTCTCTGGTGGAGCCTTGAAAAGCATTGTTCAATAAGAAAACAGAAGTCAAGCCGGGCGGTGGTGGTTGATATACCCTTTAGTCCTAGCACTCGAGAGGCAGAGGCAGGTGCATCTCTGTGAGTTTGAGGCTAACCTGGTCTACAGAGCAAGTTCCAGGACAGCCAGGGCTGTTACACAGAGAAACCCTGTCTCAAACAACAACAACAACAACAACAACAACAACAACAAAAGAAAACAGAAGTCAGGAATATTCTGCTCATGAAGAATCTGCTATTATTATTGATACAGCTTCTCATGTATCCCAGACTAGTGACTTCTGGTCCTCCTGCTTCCATTTCTCAAGTGCAGGGGTTACAATCATCCACCATCACAGGTTTTGTGTGATGTTGGTGCACAAACCCAGCCTTGTGCCTGCCAGGCAAGCACTCTTCCGACTCAGTTACAGCTTCATCCTTATTATCATGTATGTTCTTCATATTGTATTAGAGAGGTCTTAGATATTTAATTTGTTCTTGTTTGAGACAGAGTCTCAGGTAGCCCAGGGCTGGCTTTGACTCTATTGTGTAGCCGATGATGCTCCTGAACTCTTCACCCTCTGGCCTCCTAAGTGCTGGGATTATAGGTTCTCACCACCATGTCTGACTTAATTCATTTAAATATTTTAAATAACATTTTTCCCCTTAAATTTGTGTATGTGGGCATGTGGGTCCTAGGGATTGAATTCAGGTCATCAGACTTGGTGGCAGGTACTTTACCTGCCGATGAGCTATCTTGCTGGCCCCAACTTAATTCATTTTTGTTGTTTTATTCCTCCTAATTTCTGATTTAATTCTATTATAATTCTGTTGATAGGAAACTAATCACAGAAGGCAATATAAATTGACAGAAGTTGTTTAGGAGAATTCGGAAGGTAGCGTAAGTTTCTTGGGACTAGTGCTATAGCTCAGTGGTAGAGCAGCTGCCTAGTGTGCGGGAAGCCGTGGGTTCAGTTACCAGCACCAGGAAAAAATCATCATTGTGCATAGTTTTCTCCTTTTACAGTTTCTGGAGCACTGTATCTTTTAAATTATAGTATTTAATTGCTTTATATTTTATGTTGATATATTAACTGTATATTAATTGTATATATATTTTGTCTAAATAAAACTCAGTTCTGTGAAGTAAGCTTTATTAGTTGATAGACTTATGACTTGGTACAAGTATTGGAAAGCAATGTGATAATACAAGAGGTTAGAAAGAGGGATGGAAAGATGGCTCAATGGTTAAGAGTATTGGCTGCTCTTCTAGAGGACCTGGGTTTGATTCCCAGCACTCACATGGCAGCTTACAACCATATAACTGTAACTCTAGTTCTAGGGGATCCAGTGCCCTTTTCTGGCCTCTGTGGGCACCAGGCAACACAGTTGATGCACAGATATACATACAAGCAGAATACCCATACACACACACACACACACACACACACACACACAAAAGAAGAAGCCAGGCAGTGGTGGTGCACACCTTTAATCCCAGCACTCAGGAGGTAGAGGCAGATGGATCTCTGAATTTGAGGCCAGCCTGGTCTACAGATGAGTTGCAGGACTACATAGGAATCTTGTCTCGAAAAACCAAAAACAAACAAACAAACAAACAAAAACCCAACCAAACAACCAAATAAAAAAACTAGAACAAAACCCCTGAAAATTGGAAGGATTAGCTGATGTATTGCCTACTAATGATCATTGCTATATGTAATGTGATAGGTATGTCAGATGTAAATTTGTAAAACTTATATTTGCTGTTGAGCAGTAAGATGATAGAAGTTTTAAGTGATTTTATTTTGTTTTGTGATGCTACACTTCAAACCTAGGGCCTTGCACATGCTATGTGAGTGCTCTACCACTATGCCACATCCCAGCCCTGATTTTAATATTTTTAATATTCGGGGTTGGAGAGATGGCTCAGTGGTTGCTCTTCCAGAGAGGTCCTGGGTTCAATTCCCAGCAACCACATGGTGCCTCACAACCATCTATAGTGGTATCTGATGCCCTATTCTGGCATAAATGCAGATAAAGCTCTCATATACATAAAGTAAATAAATAAATTAAAAAATATTTTAATATTCATATTTCCTGTGCTTTAAATGTATGCTAGTTCTGAAGATGAAGTGGATGTGCTTTTACATGGAACTCCTGACCAAAAACGAAAACTCATCCGAGAATGTCTTACTGGAGAAAGTGAGTCATCTAGTGAAGATGAATTTGAAAAGGAAATGGAAGCCGAACTAAACTCTACCATCAAAACAATGGAGGATAAGTTATCCTCTATGGGGACAGGTAAGCTTTGGGCTCAGTTCTCACAGACAGCCTGTAATGGATTGTGTTCTTCTGTGTCTCTCTGTGTAGGTGCTCAAGAATCATTCATTGTGTGTTTGTACGTACATGTGTGCGTGTGAAGTGTATGAATGATGGGTGGTGATAGGGGTAAACCTGGGTCTTGTGTTTACTAGACAAATGTTCTACCACCAAGTTACAGCCCAGCCTCTTAAAATTTTGAGACAGGGTCTGGCCAAGTTACTCAGTTTGGCCTTGAACTCACTGTAGCCTTCGTGATCCTTCTGCCTCTGCCTCCTGAGTAGCTGGTGGCAGATCTGCATGAATGGGTCTGATTAATACAGTACTTACTAAATGAAGGAATGAATGTGCTTGACAATCTCTACCAGAGTTTTTGCTAATGACTGACATGTGTCATATGTTATTGGAAAGATACTATTTAGTAGCAAGTACTTGTATTATTTCCTTTTGTAGTTTTTAACACATGCCAGGCGTAGTGGCACATGCCTTTAATCCCAGCACTCAAGAGGCAGAGGCAGGCAGATCTCTGAGTTTGAGGCCAGCCTGGTCTACAGAGTGAGTTCCAGAACAGCCAGGGCTACACAGAGAAACCCTGTTTCAAAAAAAAAAAAACAAACAAACAAAAAACACAAAGAAAACCACACAAGCATGCAAAACATATTTAGGGTTTGATGGCAGATTTGATGGCATGTCACTGCAAATTCCTGTCTCTTTGTAGTGAGTAATAAACATATTTCTTTTTAGCTCTTTATGTATAATTTACTTGACCCAAAAATTGGTTTGTGAAAGTAGGACTGATCAGAACTGGTTTTCATGTTTTTACCAACTTGAAAAGTTATAACTTAAGAACTGAAAGATGTAATTGAAGCAGAAGAAGAGTCAGGGACACACACATGTGAAGACAATTTGGAGAGAGGAAGTTTGTTTTTGGTCCATCGCCTTGTCTGATGCCCCTTGAAGCAAGACATCCCTTTCCTGTTCTCCATGGCTATTTGTATTGTGAATTAAAAAATATATAGAATATATATGCTGAAAACCTGAAATACAGCATTTAAGTTTTAATTGGATTTTTGGGGAGAAAGAATGATATTCTCCTAATTTGGAAAACTCGTCAAGGAGTAATTCCCTATTTATGCATAGGACACAGACACCACATGAGTCACTGGTATAAACATATTGACACACAAATGAGATTGTGAATAAATTAATACTATTTGAAGTGATGGAGATATATATGGAGGCCGTTTGTTCTTTTTTGGGATCAGATGTGGTTTAGTTTGTAAACTTTACTTCTGGTTTGGTAGGGACTTCCTCAGGAGTTGTGAGTGGTGGAGGAGTTACAGCGAAGTACTATGACGACATTTATTTTGATTCCGACTCTGAGGATGAAGACAAAGCAGGTGAGTTCCTTTTGTTTAGCAGGTATATTCTATGAATAATATCTGCCTTAGCAGTTACTTGATAGTAGATTTTTCATCTGAGTTTTATTTATTTTTTTAATCTTATGTTAATGGGTATTTGGCCTGCATGTATATCTGTGCACCATGTGCATGCCTGGTGCCTTTGGAGGCCTGGAGAGGGTGTTAGATTCCCCAGAACTGGAGTTAGAGATATTTGTGAGCCACCATGTGGGTGCTGGAAATCAAACCTGGGTCCCCTGGCCAAACCTGGGTCCTCTGGAACAGCAGCCAGTGCTCTTAACTGCTGAGCCATCTTTCCAGCTCCTCTATTTAAAGTTTATTTTATTTTTTTTTTTTTTCTCGGAGCTGAGGACTGAACCCAGGGCCTTGCGCTTGCTAGGCAAGCGTTCTACCACTGAGCTAAATCCCCAACCCCTAAAGTTTATTTTTAAGAAACAATAGACTAAGCCAAGTGTGGTGGCTACATCTTTAGTCCCAGCACTCAGGGAGGCAGAGGTAGGCCAGCCAGAGCTACACAGTAAGACCCGGTCTCAAAAGAAAAAAAAGAAAGAAATTGTATGTTGTTGATGGAGGTGCAGAATTGGTTAGTAAGAAAGGCAGGGGTGCAGATGTGTGCATTGCAACAGCAGTTCTCACCATGTGGGTTATGACCCCTTTCACAGGGGTCGTCGAAGAGCATCAGAAAACACATATTTCCAGTGTTCTTAGGAACTGAGACACTGCTCCTCTATCCACCTCTCTGTAGTCTGCCCACATGCAGATACACCCACATGTGAGTACCAACCCCTTCACATACACCCTAAACAAATAAAGGTGTGTGTGACAGGTTGGGTGCAGTAATGTACTTGTGTAGACCCACCGCAGCTGATGTGTTGAAAGAAGCAGTATTGGAAATAAAACTACACTTGATGAATTGTAATTACTGGGTAATATAAAATCATCAACTACGGCAAGAAAAAAATCTGTACCATGGGAACTTTATCTGGCTGCTGATTGGTCTTTTATATTCTGCCGTGGTTGATGTGAATACTGCCCCCTATTGATAGTAGATAGTAACAGGTATGTAAACCACAAAACAACAAAAAACAGAATGGTAAATCATAGGAATTTTTTTGTTTTTCGAGACAGGACTTCTCTGCATAACATCTCGAGCTGTCCTGAAACTCACTTTGTAGACTGGGCTGGGCTTAACCTTACAGAGATCCACCTGCCTCTGCCTTCCAAGTGCTGGGAATAACTGGCCAGTCATAGGAAATTTTAATGAACTGCATTGACTGAAATAGGCTATGTATCATCTTTTGTCTTATAAAAGCTATTGTTATATATTGTTTTCATTAGAAAACCATCCTATGACAATGGATTATGTATAGAAAAATGTTAAGAAACTGTAGTGAAAATTTTTTTACAGTATGGTTTTATCTCAATAATTAGAGCAGAAATTTAGAAATCATGATTTGTTATTTGTTGTGAAATTCTATTAGCAAAGCCTATGAAGCTGAACACACTAAACGCCATTTTGATAGCGAGCCTCTGAGCTCTGCCAGCAAGGATACCAACTAATTTAGAAGCAAAGCCGATGGACTCAGGAAAGCCAGACTTGCCAGGCGGCGGTGGCACACGCCTTTAATCCCAGCACTTAGGAAGTAGAGGCAGGTGGATCTCTGTGAGTTCGAAGCCAGCCTGGGCTACAGAGTGAGTTCCAGGACAGCCATGGCTACACAGAGAAATTGTCTCAAAAGAAACCCCCCAAAAAAGGAAAGCCAAAATTGACACTGGTGGCAAGTACCACAAACAAAATAGAGCAGTCATTGAATCTTCATATTTGGTGGCACTCAGACTCGCCACAGCTATGACATCTCACACCGTTGCTGAGGATTTACTGTTGCCTGTGGCCAAAGACAGTGTCCAAGTTATGATTGGAGATGACCTTGTTACATAGTTAATACAGTTTCCTTATCTAAGGACACTGTCTGCAGAAGAATAGATGGCATGTCTGCTGATATTCTTGATCATTGAATCCAGGAGATCAAATCTGCTCCACTCCATATTTACTGTGCAGCTCGATGAATCCACAGACACTGCAAACTGTTCATAGTTACTGTTTTACAGGAGGTATATTAATGATGGCAACGTTAAAGATGAGTTTCTTTTTTGCAAAGCTCTTGAATCCACAACCACTGCACGTGAAGTATTTGACATGGTTCATTTCTGAAAGAGCGGAAGATCTCTTGGAAAAGGGTTTGTGGTGTTGGCACAGACGGTGCTCCTGCTGAGCTAGGGTGTCGATCTGGACTTCAGTGTGGTGCTCAGTGAGGCACCACAGTCATCGGGCCTCACTGTGTGATTCACGGGCAAATATTAGCAGTGAGGATGCTGCCACAAGGGTTACAAGAAGTCATGGAAAACGTCATAAGTTCTGTCAGTTTGTCACCATGAGAGCACTTTAAACAGTCGACTGTTTTTACAACTGCAGTGAGTTGGATACTCCGAACAAAGCTATGCTATTTCACACTAAAGTGTGATGGTTGTCCGGAGGAAATGTTTTAAAAGTGTTTTTGAGCTTTGTGATGAACTCAATTTTTTTTAGACTTATTTTCTTATGTATTTTATGTACATGAATGCTCTGTCTTCATGTACACCAGAAGAAGGAGGGCATCAGATCATGTTACAAATGGTTGTGAGCCACCATGTGGTTGCTGGGAATTGAACTCAGGACCTCTGGAAGAGCAGCTGGTGCTCTTAACCGCTAGGCCACCTCTCCAGCCCCCTCAGAAAGCAAGACCATAGTTGGAAGCACTTTTCAGCGATGAAAATGAATTGCAGAAAATAGCTTACTTGGTGGACATCTTTGCCACCTTGAATGAATTAAATTTATCACTGCACGGACCAAATGCAGCATGCCTAGATTTGTCTGAAAAGATCTGATCATTCCAAATGAAACTTCAGCTTTGGCAAAAATAAATAAATAAATAAAAAGGTGAGACAGCACAAGAGGAATTCACTGAACATAAACAGCCATGCAGTGAGAACTGACTTCTCTACGATGCCATTACAGAATTCTGGATCGAGTGTCTGCAGTCATTTCCTCTTTTCTCTGAGACTGAGTTACACCTTCTTCCATTTCCAACAACATATCTTTGTGAAACAGGGTGTTCCAGCTTACTGGTTATCAAGTCTAAATACAGAAGTAGACTGTGCTTTTTGCAAAGACTGCCCTGAGAATTTCTGATCTGGTGAGAAAGAAGCAGTCTAAACCTTTGCACTGAGGTTGGCTTTTTATACACACTGTCGCAAAATGTAGCAGTGTAGTTTACTGTTGTTATTGTTACCCTTGCTACACCAAGCTTCAAGACAAAATTTTGTTTATTTGTAATTAAAAATAAATATTCCACAATATATAATTACTTATTGTTTTTGTAATTAATCACTAAATTTTATATTTATGTATCCATACATACATGTTTAGATACATGCACACATACATGTGTATATATAAATATGTGTATGGGTGTGTGTGTGTATACACACACACACACACACACACACACACACACACACACACACACACATATATATATAAATATTTTTTTCTCCCCATTTTCAAGACAGGGTTTTTCTGTAGCCCGTGGCTGTCTTGGAACTTGTTCTGTAGACCAGGCTGATCTTGAACTCAGACATCCCTTTCAGGGGCGTGTGTCACCACCATCCGGCTCTTAGGTTTTTATGTTGACCTCCACCTATTTGTTACATGTATTAGGCTGGCCTCCAGCTCACAGAGACCCAGCTGCCTCTGCCCTACTACCCTCAACCCCACAGTGCTGGGTTTAAAGGACCACACCTGCCTAAGAGCATAGTTTTAGAAGTCTGCTTTTTTGTTTTAAGTACTTTGGGTCCTCAAGAATGTTAGGCAAGGGGCTAGAGCAGTGGTCGCAACCCACAGATTGAGAAACGCTGGGCTAGAGAGATGGTCCAGAAGTTAAGAGCACTCGCTGTTCTTGTAGAGGGCCTGGGTTCAGTTCCCAGCACTCACATTGCCCCTCACAGCTGTCCATAATTCCAGTTCCACAGGACCTGGGGCCCCTTTTTGGCCTCAGCAAGCATTAGGCATTCATGGAGTATATTTGTATACATTCAGGCAAAACACTTATATCCATAAAATAAAAAGCAATAAACCTTAAAAGAATTACCATTTCAGTTTTAAATATTTTTGTTCTGATTTTAGTATTTATTTGAGAGATGGTCTCAGAGTGTAGCCCCATCTAACCTAGAATTCACTATGCAGCCCAGGCTGGCCTTGAACTCAAAAGATTCACCTGCCTTTGCTTCAGGAGTGCTGGGATTACAGGCGTGCCCTACCACGCCTCCTCTATCTTTAATTTAGTGTCTTAATTGGACAAAACTCTTACTTGAAGAATAGCTGTATTTATTTAATTTCATGTAATGTTTTTTGGGGTAAGGTTTTGTTTTTGTTGCCAGGGTGGCCTGGGACTCACTGTGTAGTCCAGGTGTGGCAATTCTCCTGCCTCGACCTCCCAAGGGTTGGGATTGCTGGCTAAAGGAAGGCTTTAGGCATCCTTTTAAAAGATAATGTAAATAGAATAATACATAGTATGGGAATCAGGAGTCATTTTATATTAAAGAATTGTAAACTTTAAACATGATTCTGATTCATAGTCTCAACCTTTTAAAAATTAGCACACGTGACCAAGAAAAAGAAGAAGAAACAGCGCAGGATCCCAACAAATGATGAGCTGCTGTATGACCCTGAGAAAGACAACAGAGACCAAGCCTGGGTTGATGCACAGAGAAGGGGGTAAGAATTTAAATCTGTAATCTTTAGAGAAAGAGTGCTTTTTCCCTGCTTTCGTATTTTACTGTATTTGTATTTATTTTCACACAAACACTTCAAAAACAATTTGAAGATGAAAACTTGAATAGTTTATTTGAAAATAACCAGATTTTAGTTAAGTAATTGATTATTTACTCATTCATTTGTTTGTTTATTTATTTATCTATCTACTTATTTATTTGCAAGACAGGGTTTGTCTGTCTAGCCCTGACTGTCCTGGAACTCACACTATGGGCCAGGCTGGCCTTGAACTCAGATCCATCTGCCTCTGCCTGGGATTAAAGGTCTGCTCCATCACTACCTGGCTGAATTTTTCTTTATTTTTAAAATAGATTCTCATGTAGCCCCTGCTGCTTCAAAACTTAGTATGTGGTTGAAGCTGGCCTTAAACTCCTGGTCTTGCTGCCTCCACCTTCCAGATGCCATCTGGAGTTATAAGTTTGTGTCACCACAGCAGTTAATTGTTGAGTTATTGGTGGATCTAAACTGTCATAGTCAGTCTCTTCATTTAAGAATTGTTCTTGTGAGACAGGGTCTTATTATGCAGCCCTGGCTGGCCTGGTACTCATTATGTATGTTGCTCTGTACAGCAATCCTGCCTCAGCCTTGTAAGTGCTGGGATTATAGGTATGTGCCACTATGCCTGGCCTTCCCTCTTACCACCACCCCATGGTACTAGGAATTGTTTGAACATAGGCTCTTGAGCATACTGGGCAAGTGTTGTATCACGGATCTCTATCCTTAACCTTTTTTTAAAAATTTTATTTATTTATTTTATGTATATGAGTGCTCTACCTGCATGTATGCCTTTATGCCAGAAGAGGGCATCAAATCCCAGTATTGATGGTTGTGAGCCATCCATCATGTGATGGCTGGGAATTGAACTCAGGACCTCTGGAAGAGTGGCCAATGCTCTTAACCACTGAGCCGTCTCTCCAGCCCTGGCTTTTTGCTTTTTAAAACAAGGTCTCATTAAGTTGTTCAGGCTGGTCTTGAAGTCACTCTGTAGCCCAGTGGGCCTGGAACTTGCAGTCCTCCTGCCTCAGCTATATCAGAAGCAGGGATTATGGGCCTGTACCAGTAGGCCTGATTATAAAACTAACTTTTCAGTGGTTGGTTGGTTGGTTTGTATTTTGGTCTTTCCAAACTAACTTTTCCCTAATAGACATGTTAAAACTTTTATTTTTTTATTTTTTTATTTTTTTTGTTTGTGGAGACAGGGTCTGTCCCAGACTGGCCTTGAAGTCCCAGGGCTACCCTGGCCTCCCAAATACCAGGATTATGAGTATGTACCACCAGGCTTATTTTATAATTTTAAATTATTTTGAGAACAAAATTTTAGCTTCTAAGTTAATTTTATTTTTTGATGTCTTGGAACTCACTCTGTAGACCAGGCTGGCCTTGAATACACAGAGATTGTCTACCTCTGCCTCCCACATGTTTTTTGTTATTTTGTTTTTTAGTCCCGAGTTCTGAGATTAAAAGTTTGCATTACTGCACGCCCAAGAGCAAAATGCTTTGGTGGCTCGTCTGCACTGTAGCCCAGTACTCTTTTTATGGCTGAGCAGTGCCATTGCATGTGTATATCTTGATTTTTTTTATCCAGATGTCCACCGAAGGATGTTCTAAGTACCTTTTGACTGTCATGAGTAGTGTTGGCAACACTGGTGTACAGATGTTTGTTTGAGTCCCTACTTCTGTGTTTTTGGTTACAAATCTAGGAGGAGCGTTGGAGGATCACGTGGTAATTCTGTGTTTTAGCTTTTTGTGTGCTTGTGTGTGTGGTGCTGGAGATTGAATTTATGCTGTTGTACATGCTAGGCAGGTACTACGCTGCTGAGCTACACCTGGTGCCCAGGAGGCTGTGCTTCAGTCCAGATGGGGATGGATGGCTGTTTTCCAGGTCGGGAGGGTTGATGTTGCTGTGGGATCTCTGTACACACCCTTAGCTCCAGTTCTTTCCCTGTGCCCTTTTCCTGGCTTGCATTTATGCCCGTGCTGCTTCCTCCAGCGCCCCCTGCTGTTTACTTCCTGAAACTTCCTTTATTTTGTTTTGGGGTCAGGATCTCTGAGGAAGCATGGTTTGGCCTGGGATTTACTGTGTAGCTCAGGCTGGCATTGGGAGCTTTTGTTCTTCCTGCCTTAGCTTTCCAAATTTATTTTACTTTACATTTATTTATTTAAAATTTAGTATTGCTATGTGCATGCATGGCAAGGCATCCTTGTGGAGGTTAGAGGACAGCTTCTGAGAGTCAGTTCTCTTTCCATCATGTAAGTTCTCCAGGTTGAACTCCGGTTGTCATGTTAGTGGCAAACACCTTTACCTGGTAAGCCATCTTACCAGCTCCTCTATCTTCAGTTTTTGTAACAGTCTCTACTGAACCCAGAGCTCTGCCCGGCTGAGTTCCAGGTATCTGCCTGGCTCTATCCTGCTGTCCCGGAGAGCACTGTGGCCCGTGCCTCTGTGCCTGCTCTTTATGTGGGCTTTGGGCTCTTAGCTCATGCTAGGAATACAGGTGTGGGACACCTTGCCTGGCCGATTTACGGTTTTTCAGACAGGGGACAGGGTTTCTCTGTATAGCTCTGTTTGTCCTGGAACTCACACTGTAGACCAGGCTGGCCTTGAACTCAGAGATCTGCCTGCCTCTGCCTCCAGAGTGCTGGAGTGAAAGGCCACCAGCACCTGGCTTAAGTTTGTGACTACAAATGTAAAAATAGTTTCTTAGATTTTCCTTGTTTTTGGTCTCTTAAGTATCTTGAATCATGGCCAGATGTGAGAAAGAGTTAGTTTCCTGTTAGAATTCACCTGAGATTTCCTCAGAATCACACTGATACTACGGGTTTTGGTTTGTTGTCAGGTTTGGTTTTTATGAGACACATCTCATTTTAGCTCATACTGACCTTGAACTCTGGATCCCCCTGCTTCTGTCTCTGGTGCTGGGATTTCAGGCATGAACCACCACATCCCACCACACTGTCTGCTTTGAAAGAAAATGACTGTGTGCAGTCCAGACTTAAGGAGTTAGGCTCTGCCACCTTGAAATTTGATTTGATTTAATTTTTTTTGAGCACTTTTTTTTTTTTAACTTTCTGCCTCTCCAAGATGTTTTAGATAGATCTTGTAAAGCAGATCCCTAGAATTATCCATTTCTGGTGCTGGAGAGATGGCTCATGGGTTAAGAGCACTTGTTCTTACAGAGGACCTGAGTTTGGTTTCTAGCGCCCACATGGTGACTCTCAGTTCCTGGAGACCCCACACCTTCTTCTGACCTCCCAGGGCACCAGGCATGCATGTAGTGCACTTAGCTACATGCAGATAAGACATTCATATCCTTAAAGAAAAATAGATCAAAAATATAAATAATAATAATAAAGTAGCTAGTCATTTCTCTGAGTACTGATTCCATTTTCTGGACAGTGACATTAGAAACCAGGATTTGGTTGATTAATGTATTTTTCCTTCTCTAATTTATTTTTCTGTTTTAGTTATCATGCTTTTGGATTGCGGAGACCACATCAGAAACAACAGCCTGTTCCAAACAGCGATGCTGTTTTGAATTGCCCTGCCTGTATGACTACACTGTGCCTTGATTGCCAAAGGTAAGGGACAGAGGTAAACATATCACATGCACCCAAATGAGCGTACTCCCACCCTCGAACAAACCTTTCCCAGAACCAAAACAGTTTGGTGGGCCTTTGCTTAAATCAGAAGTAGACTTTTTTGCTGTTTATGTAAACATTTATTTGACCAAAATGTAGAAAAGTAGTAACTGTAACATACGATACAGTTGCAGGAATCTGAAGAACAGAGTGGGTTTGCTAAAAGTTCATCTCTCTGGTAGTGTGATGTTTAAAACACAGGAGCGAGAGCAAGGCAGGCTTGGTGCACCCCTTTATCCCAGCACTCGGGAGGCAGAGGCAGGAGGAGCTCTGTGAGTTTGAGGCCAGCCTGGACTACAGAGCTACACAGAGAAACCCTGTCTCAGGAAAAAAAAAAAAAAAATTAATGTCATCCTTGAACAGGGGCATGCTAATTTTCTTTGTATTGTTTCAGTTTTAATATATGTGCTGCTGAATTGAATCGAGCATAAGAGACAGTTTTTAAAAATAACAGTTATTAACAGTTATTGCCGGGTGAGGAGAAGCACATTTTTAATACCAGCATTTGGGAGGTGGAGGCAGGTGGATCTCTGTGAGTTTGAGGCCAGCCTGGTCTACAGAGTGAGTTCCAGGATAGCCAGGGATATACAAAGAAACCCTGTCTTGAAACCCCCCCCCCAAAAAAAAAGCTATTATTAGTGCAATTATTCACTAATAGTAATTCAAACCTCTGCTGGTCTATAATCCCAGTACTTGCAGGTTCAAACAGGATGATTGCTATAGGTTCAAGACTGCTCTCAGCTACAAAGTGAGGACCTGCCTCAAAAAACAAGAATGGGCTGGAGAGGTGGCTCAGAGGTTAAGAGCACTGGCTACAGAGGTGCTGAGTTCAGTTCCCAGCAAACATGGTGGCCCACCACCATCTGTAATGAGATCTGGCGCCCTCTTCTGGTGTGCAGGCGTACATGCTGGCAGAACACTGAATACACAATAAATAAACACATCTGTAAGAACTCAGGTTTGGTTCTCAGCCCCCAGAGGGCAGCTCAGGGGATCCAGCACCTTCTTCTAACCTCTGCAAGCATCAGGCATGCATGTGGTGTACATACATACAGGCAGAACAGTTGTACATATAAAAATACAATAAATTTTTTTTTTTTTTTTTGAGACAGGGTTTCTCTCTGTTGTGTATCTCTGGTTGTCCTGGAACTTGCTCTGCAGACCAGGCTGGCCTTGAACTCAGAGATCTGCCTGCCTCTGCCTCCCAAGTGCTGGGATTAAAGGCGTGTGCCACTGCTCCTGGCCTAATCTTTTTTCTTTTTTTCTTTATTTTACATGCCAACCACAGTTTCTCCTCCCTCCTCTCCCCCCCTTTCCTCCCCCTACCTCCCTTCTACCCCTTCCCCATCCACTCCTCTTCCATCTCCATTCAGAAAGGGTAAGGCCTCCTATGGGAGTCAACAAAGCATGGTATATCAAGCTGAGGCAGGACCAAGCTCCTCCCCCCTGCATCAAGGCTGAGCAAGGCATCCCACCATAGGGAATAAGTTCCAAAAAGCCAGCTCATGCATCAGGGACAGGTCCTGGTCCCACTGCTAGGGGCCTCACAAACAGAATAAGCTACACAACTTCACCCACATGCGGAGGGCCTAGGTTGGTCCCATGCAGGCCCCCTAGCTGTTGGTCCAAGTCCGTGAACTCCCACAAGCTCAGGTCAGCTGTCTCTGTGGGTTTTCCAGTCATGATCTTGACGCCCCCTTGCTAATATAATCCCTCCTCCCACTCTTCAACTGGGCTTCTGGAGTTCAGCCCAGTGCTTGACTGTGGATCTCTGCATCTGCTTCCATCAGCTACTGAATGAAAGGTCTATGATGACAATTAGGGTAGTCACCATTTGATTACAGGAAAAGATCAGTTCAGGCACCCTCTCCACTATTGCTGGGAGTCTTAGCTGGGGTCATCCTTGTGGATTCCTGGGAGTTTCCCTGGTACCAGGTTTCTCCCTAACCCTATAATGGCTCCATCAAGATCTCTCTTTCATTGCTCTCCCTCTCTGTCCTTCTCCCAACTCGGCCATCCTGATCCCTTCCTTATGTTCCCATCCCTCCACACTCCCCCTTCCCCCAGTTTACTCATGGAGATCTCATCTATTTCCCCTTCCCAGGGTGATCCATGTGTCCCTCTTAGGGTCCTCCTTGTTACCTAGCTTCTCTGGGGCCTAAACTTTTTTTTTAAACAAAACAATACAAACCTCAAATAATTCTAGACAGAGCATTAAGTGTTTCTGACTTTCGTTGAAGTGTCAGCCACTGTTGTGAGGTATCATGGTCCTCTTACTTGCATTTTGTTTCCAATTTGATTTTAGACTTGAATCAGTTCAGTATTTCTGCACATATGGAGATTTAAAGTGTGTGTTTTGTCGTTGTTTCTTTTCGGAAACAGTCTCGCTATGTAGACTAGGCAGGCCTCAAACTCTGGGCAGTCCTTTCTCGTCTCCAATATACTGTGGTTCCTTGTTGGCTCCTTCCTGTAAGAGTTCTCTAGAATTTGGTTCAAACTGCTCAGAGCAGCACACATCTAAAACCACAGCATTTGGAAGGTGGAGAGGAAGAGCCCGATTTCTACGCTTACTTCAGCTACATATCAAGTTCAAGTCCAGCTTGGATTGTATAGCAAGACTTTGTCTTGAAAAATAAAATTTAGGTGAGATGGCCTAGATGATAAAGGTGTTGGTAAACCACCCAACCTGAGCTCCACTCCAAGACCTGTGTCGTGGGAGAAGAGAACTGACTCTCTCTGAGCTCCACACACATTCTGTGCTGTGTGCCCACCTCTCCAAACCCCACCTCCACAGATGCAGGGCTGGCATGGTGGTGCATGCCTGTGTCCCCGACCTGGAAGGCAAAGCTTGAGGACCAGGAGTTAGAGGCCAGCCTTAGTTACAGAGCTGGTCTGAGTAAAGACCTGTCTCAAAAAACTTAAACATAGCCGAGTGGTGGTGGCGGTGGGGAGTGGCGGGGGGGGGGGGGGGGGGGGGGGGGGGGGGCGGCGGCGGTGGCGCACACCTTTAATCCTAGCACTTGGGAGGCAGAGGCAGAGACAGGTGAATCTCTGTGAGTTCGAGGCCAGCCTGGTCTACAAAGTGAGTTCCAGAACAGCCAGGACTGTTACACAGAGGAACCCTATCTCCAAAAATCCAAATAAATAAATAAATAAACAAAAATTTAAACATTTTTCATCAAATTCCCAGCAACTTTTTTGTCTTCCTAAGTTTGTTTGTTTATTTTTTTGGTGTTTTGAGACAAAGTTTCCCTGTGAAATGTACAGCGGTCTTTTTCAGGTGGGCCTCTGAGAGTTCCAGGCCAGCCAGGGAAACATAGTGAGAACCTGTCTCAAAAGGAGAAAACAAAATTTTATTTTATTTTTTTATTTATTTTTATTTTTCTATTATCAGCTTGATACAGTATAAATTCTTATCCTAATAGTGAAATGTTTCATTGAGGCTTGCCCAGTAATTGAGTAAAACCAAAACTTATAAGCCAGAGTCATCCTAGGGCCCCCCTGCTATATAGCCTCCCTGGTTCTGTCTGTAGGTTGCAGTCTGATTGTTCTTTGCTTTATATCTAGAATCCACTTATGAGTGAGTACATACCATGTTTGTCCTTCTGGGTCAAACACATTTTCTTAATCCATTCTTCTGTTGACGGGCATCCAGGTTCTGGCTATTATGAATAATGCTGCTGTGAACATAGTTGAGCATGTATGTATCTTTGTGGTATGATTGAGCATTCCTTGGGTATATGCCCAAGAGTGGTATGGCTGGATCTTGAGGTAGATCGATTCCCAATTTTCTGAGAAACCGCCATACTGATTTCCACAGTGGTTGTACAAGTTTGCATTTCCACCAACAGTGGAGGAGTGTTCCCCTTGCTCCGCATCCTCTCCAACATTGACTGTCATTAGTGTTTTTGATCTTAGCCATTCTGACAGGTGTAAGGTGATATCTCAGAGTCGTTTTGATTTGCATTTCTTTGACTAAGGATGTTGAGCATTTCTTTAAATGTCTTTCAGCCATTTGAGATTCTTCTTTTGAGAATTCTGTTTAGCTCTTTAGCCCATTTTTTGATTGGATTGTTCAGTATTTTGATGTCTAGTTTCTTGAGTTCTTTATATACTTTGAAGATCAGTCCTCTGTCAGATGTGGGATTGGTGAAGGTCTTTTCCCATTCTGTAGGCTCTTTTTGTCTTATTGACCATGTCTTTTGCCCTACAAAAGCTTCTCAGTTTCAAGAGATCCTATTTATTAATTGTTGTGCTCAGTGTCTGTGCTGCTGGTGTTATATTTAGGAAGTGATCTCCTGTGCCAATGCGTTCAAGAGTACTTCCTACTTTCTCTTCTATCAAGTTCAGTGTAACTGGATTTATGTTGAGGTCTTTGATCCACTTGGACTTGAGTTTTGTGCATGGTGACAGATATGGATCTATTTGCATTCTAATACATGTCGACATCCAGTTATGCCAGCACCATTTGTTGAAGATGCTTTCCTTTTTCCATTGTATAGTTTTGGCTTCTTTGTCAAAAATCAGGTGTTCATATGTGCGTGGATTAATGTCAGGGTCTTCAATTTGATTCCATTGGTCCATATGTCGGTTTTTATACCAGTACCAACCTGTTTTTATTACTATAGCTCTATAGTAGAGCTTGATGTTAGGGATGGTGATGCCTCCAGAGGTTGCTTTATTATACAGGATTCTTTTAGCTATCCTGGGTCTTTTGTTTTTCCATATGAAGTTGAGTATTTTTCTTTCCAAGTCTGTGAAGAATTGTGTTGGGATTTTGATGGGGATTTTGAATCTGTAGATTGCTTTTGGTAAGATTGCCATTTTTACTGTGTTAATCCTACCTATCCATGAGCATGGGAGATTCTTCCATTTTCTGATATCTTCTTCAATTTCTTTTTTTAGAGATTTAAAGTTGTTATCGCCGGGCGGTGGTGGCGCACGCCTTTAATCCCAGCACTCGGGAGGCAGAGCCAGGCGGATCTCTGTGAGTTCGAGGCCAGCCTGGACTACCAAGTGAGTTCCAGGAAAGGCGCAAAGCTACACAGAGAAACCCTGTCTCGAAAAGCCAAAAAAAAAAAAAAAAAAAAAAAAAGTTGTTATCAAAAAGGTCCTTCACTTGTTTAGTTAGTGTTATCACAAGGTATTTTATATTATTTGTGGCTATTGTAAAGGGTGATGTTTCTCTGACTTCTTTCTCAGCCCTTTTATCATTTGTGTATAGGAGGGCTACTGATTTTTTTGAGTTGATCTTGTATCCTGCCACTTTACTGAAGGAGTTTATCAGCTGTAGGAGTTCCCTGGTAGAATTTTTGGGGTCACTTATGTATACTCTCATATCATCTGCAAATAGTGTAAGTTTGACTTCTTCCTTTCCAATTTGTATCCCTTTGATCTCCTTTTGTTGTCTTATTGCTCTGGCTAGAACTTCAAGTACTGTATTGAATAAATATGGGGAGAGTGGACAGCCTTGTCTTGTTCCTGATTTTAGTGGAATCGCTTTGAGTTTCTCTCCATTTAATTTGATGTTGGCTGTTGGCTTGCTATAAATTGCCTTTATTATGTTTAGGAATGTTCCTTGTATTCCTGATCTCTCTAAGACCTTTATCATGAAGGGTTGTTGGATTTTGTCAAAGGCTTTTTCAGCATCTAATGAGATGATCATGTGGTTTTTTTTTCTTTCAGTTTGTTTATATGGTGTATTACATAGACAGATTTTTGTATGTTGAACCATTCTTGCATCCCTGGGATGAAACCTACTTGGTCATGATGGATAATTTTTTTTTGATGTGTTCTTGGATTCGGTTTGCCAATATTTTGTTGAGTATTTTTGTATCAATGGAAAATAAAATTTTAAAAGCTTCAAATGGAGCCAGGCATGGTGGTACATGCCTTTGAGCTTGGTAATCAGGAGGCAGAAGCAGGCAAATCTCTGTGAGTATGATACCAGCTTGGTTTACATATGGAGTTCCAGGCCAGTCAGGGCTACATAGTGAGACTCTGTCTAAAAAAAATTAATTTTTTCAGTGCTGGAGATCAAACCTCAAGACTTTGGGTATGCTTTACCATTGAACTATATTCCAACCCAGCAATATGTTCCCATTTATTTATTTGTCTGTCTGTCTACTATCTATCTATCTATCTATCTATCTATCTATCTATCTATCTATCTATCTATCTATCTATCTTTTTTTGAGGCAGGGTCTCTGTGTAGCCCTGGTTGTCCTACAACTCACTATGTAGTAGTCTGTCTGTCTGTCTGACTATCTATTTATTTTTGAGGCAGAGTCTCTATATAGCCCTGGTTGTCCTAGAATTCACTATGTAGATCAGACTGGCCATGAACTCACAGAAACCCCTCTGTCTCTGCCTCCTTAGAGTGCTGGAATCTAAGGCATGTGCCACTGTGCCCAACCTTACATTACATTTAAGAAATATATTTCTCCACGGAATGATGGTGCATGCCTGCATTCTCATTATTTGAAAGGTTGAGACAGGAGGATTGTGAGTTCTAGGTTAGCTTTTGTAGGTCTGTCTCAAAAAAAAAATAAGTAAATAAACGACTCTTTCAAATTTAATCCCCATCTTTATTTTGGTGGCTGTTCATGTAGGTGTTCTCAATTTGATCTAAAAATGACTACTATTAAATCCAAACTCTCCTTTTCATTCTCCTTCTAGGCATGAATCCTACAAGACTCAGTACAGAGCAATGTTTGTGATGAATTGTTCTGTCAACAGAGAGGAGGTTCTAAGATACAAGAATCCAGAAAACAGGAAGAAAAAGTGGGGTGCTAAGAAGATGAGGTCTAACCCTGAAGATCCCGTGGAGACAGACATGGAGGAAATCTATCACCCTGTCATGTGCACAGAGTGTTCCACTGAAGTGGCAGTCTATGACAAAGATGAAGTCTTTCATTTCTTCAACGTTTTAGCAAGCCATTCTTGAACAGTGTGACAGGTAATTGACTTCCCAGCACTGTATAAAGCAGATGTGGACTCCTATTTTCCTCTTTCCTAGTCATATCTTTCAGTGACATTGAGTCATTAAAACAGTATTTATCTCTATGGAAAGAATGGTTATCAACCTCTATTTCTTCTCCCTTTTTTCTTTTTAATTTTCCCATGAGTAATGACGGGACTGATTATTCATTTCATTTTTGGTGCATCTTTGAAGACTTTGGGGTTCCTTATTTATTAAATTAGCTTCCTGGAATTAAATGGTTTTGGAGTATTTGTTTCTTAGTGTTTGGTCCATTTTCTATTGTTATAACAAAGTACTAGAGGTTGGGTGCTTTATAAAGAAATGAGTTTTAGGGGTTGACAAGATGAGTCTGCACTTGGCATGCAAGCCTCACAACCTGGGATTGTTCAATCCCTGGAACCCTCAGTGGAAGGACAGGGTAACTTTCAAGTTTTCCTGTGACTGACCTAAACATGCATGCACGAGCAGGCAGGCGCACACCCACGCACACCCACAGAGGACCTGAAAAGTGGGGGAGTGTTGACAAGTTGGTGGGGTAGCAGACAGAAATGGAGCAGCAAGTCAGAGCAAAGTTGAGTGGTGTGCATGTGAAAATGTTTTGTATGCTTACTAAAAACAACACTAAATAAAGTACTATTAACAACTATTGTTCATGTCCTTTCACTTAGAAAAGACTTGAGATATCAGGTATTTCCTGAGGCTATTTGGGCTGGACACAGTTGTGCTACAGTGTTCCCCTCTGATTTTCATGCATAGCTTTGAATATCTTTCTGTTCTTTTATCAGGATGATTGCTGTAACTGACCTATAGGTGATTGTACCCGAGATGACAGTGTTTCTCAGCATAGCCTGCTCATATTTTATCACTATACATACTTTTCTCTTTATGTTAAGCAGCTGCCCATAATCCTTTGAAGGATCACTTATAGCCTTCTTTTGCCTCAACTCTCTTAACCTTCACAGGGCATCATGTAGCCCAGGCTGCCCTTAAACTCACCATGTAGCTGAGGATGACCCTGAGCTCCTGATCCTCCTGCTCCTACCTCCCTGTTGCCTCGATTATAGATGTCTGCTCTACCTCCATTTTAAATGGAGCATAAAATATTTTAAACAGATCCCACTGCAGCTAATTGTTCCTTCCTCGGCTTGGCTTATTGTGTGCTGCCCTGTTGCTGTGTAACCTGACCTCAGGCGTATAGAATAACATACATTCGTTGTCTTGTCAGGAGCCTGGCCACAGTTAAGCAGTGCATTCAACACGAGCTCACAAAGGCGATAAGGAACCGGGTTAGGTAGTGTTCTCTCTTGGAGACGTGGCCAGGCAAGTGTCCATTCTAGTGTCTCAGGCCATTGGCAGAGGGTGTGTGTGCATCTTTACAGCCACAGGACTGAAGTGCCTTTCCCCTTTGCTGGTTGTCAGCCAGGAGGAGTGAAGGTGACACTTTGTTTTTTTCCTGATTGATTAGCCAGGAGATGGTCTCTGGTCCCAGAGGCCACCTGCCTCCAGATGTAGAAATACACAAACTATTAAATGTCACTTGTTAAGTGTTTTATTATGTTTCAAAGGAACACACACACACACACACTTCTGTCTGTATGGCAGATGTTGGCCATGGTTTGTTGCTTTCTTAGTTCCTAGACACTAAGGAGCTCCTAGTGTCTGAACTCCTAGACACTCTAGGAGCGGTCATTGCCCTGGGCTTTTGATCCTCACCAGGGATCTGGAGCAGAAGGAACCGGTCAAGATGCTGTAATGAGGGAGGCTGACCATGGTGAGGAAGCAGGGACCTCTGCCACATCCCAGTCTGAAGGCTTTTTTTGGTCAATAATTTTTGAGTGACTTCTTTGCATTTTTGATATTCGACTGTCACTGGCTCACTGGTTTGCTGTGGTTTCTTAGCAGTCATGCAGACATGGGAAGTTTGGTTGTTTGTTTCCATTTTTCCTGTACTGGGGATTTTACCCAGAGTCTTATGCATGCCAGGAAGTGCTTTACTACAGAGCTATAACCTAGCCACAGGCCTGGGGGAACTCACTTCCTAAATGTAAAAATCAAAGAGGTTACCCCACAGATATATACAGTTACTGTGTCAATCAAAAAATAAGCATTAGTTGGGCATGGATGTTGCATGCCTTTAATCATAGCACTCAGGAGACAGAGACAGGCAGCTCTCTATGAGTTCAAGACTAGCCTGGTCTACATAGCAGGTTCCAGGTCAGCCAGGCTGTATAGAGAAATCCTATCTCAAAAATAAATAAATAAATAAATAAATAAATAAATAAATAAATAAATAAATAAATACATGTTTAAATATCCCTTAAGCTTATAGTTTTACTTTTAGCTGGAATCAGTGCTTGCCCCTACCCTCTACATAGCAGGTTCCAGGTCAGCCAGGGCTGTATACAGAAATCCTATCTCAAAAATACATACATACATATATACATACATACATACATACATATGTACATAGATGTTTAAATATCCCTTAAGCTTACAGTTTTACTTTTAGCTGGAATCAAGGCTTGCACCTACCCTGTCCACTCCCCTGTGTATTGGAAATTTTGGACCTCTGCACTCAGCTGCAATGCTGGTTTGGGTGTTTCTCAGAATTAATATGTTGAGAATTTAATCCTTAAAGTCATAGGGTAATGGCTTTTGGAGATGGGCCTTTGGGAGGAGTTAGGATTAGATGACCGCCCCTATGATGGCATCCATGGGCCTTTGGGAAGTAGTTGGGGTTAGATGATCCACCCCCCCACCCCCAGTGGCATCCATGGGCCTTTGGGAGGTAGTTGGGATTTGATGATCCTTCCCCTGCCCCCATGATGGCATCCATCAGCCATCCCTGGGACAGACCTGGGACTGGTGTGTCACAGCACTAACCTTCCAGCTTATCTGAATGGAAAGGTGAAATGGCACTTGCAAACCTTATCCAAAGGAGTAAGTTACCCCCACCACAGGACTGTGATATGCTAGCATTTAGTCACTGTGAGAGGAGTCTTCAATTTGTGCTATACTGAAAGTTCACCTGAAATCCGGGAAGTGTGACCATTTAAAGATGACTTAAGTTCAGTGGTCAGAAATAGCCCCTAATGGGGTTTAGTTTAGCCTAATATGTAAGTGGTCTGAACAGATCTCATGTACAGTTTTATAATCATTTTATAGTGGAGGAGTTTCAGAGACATACTGCCTATGAAAGTCTCTATAGGGAACCAAATGCCTGAAGCAGGTGAGTTAGGGATGGTGTTTGAGATGCAGAGCTGAGGGCTTGCTGTATCATAGGTCTTGAGAGTGGCAGTGGAAGCTGAGAAGCCACAGTAGGGTGTGGGAGTGGAGACCCTTGATGAACACTTACAGAGGTTTGTCCATACAGGGCACAGAACTATCTCAAGGGGAAGAAAAGTTGCACCAGTCTAATAGGTCCATTTGGGATGCTTGGGGTCTAGGAAGCTGGCTCATTCAGAATCTTTTTGTTTTTCAGACAGGGTCTCTCCTTTTAGCCCTGGGTGTCCTGGAACTTGCTCCATAGTCCAGGCTTGCCTTGAACTCACAGAGATTTATCTGCCCTTGCCTCCAGAGTGTTGGAGGCACCACCACGACCAGACTAATTTTATTATTTGTAATCATGTGTATGTACCTGTGTGTGGATGTGTGCATGTTTGTGCAGGTGTCTGAGGAGACCAAAGGCATTGAATGGCCCTGGAGCTGGAGTTACAGGCTGTTGTGAACTGCCTTAACTCTGGTCCTCTGGAAAAGCAGGACATGCTCTGAACTGTCTTTAGCTTAGCTGTCTTTCCAGCTCCCCACTCTTCCACTTCTCTTTAGGATTTACTTTTGGGGCTATACCACAACTATCTGTAACTTCAGTTCTGATCTTTACAGACACCAGGCATGAATGTGGTACACATACTTTCATGCTGCAGGCTAAAAAAATATATGAAGTAGGAATTCAGCTGATATGATAAAGCTAGACTTGGAGGAGTTAAGAACTCTTCTAGAGGTCAAGCCGACGCTCAAGGAGTCTTGGTGATATTGACTTTTGATTATTAGCCGTTTCCTGCGATGAATTTCTTGTGTGCTATTGTAGCTTTTCCATCATTCATTGGGCACAATTTCCCCTCTACTAATGGAATATTTAGATAACCTTCTGAGCAGTAACACAGCCAGGATCCCTAATTTCAGGCCTTTCTGTAATTACCGTCAATAACAGCATCCAGCCAGGACCATTCCTAGACGGACAGACGAAAGTATCTTATCTGAGATACCTCACAGATTTCTAAGAACAGACATAAGCATCCAGACTATCTGAGAAGGCCTGGCAGATGTGCTAATTAAGCTTAACTTTCTCCTTTTCCAAATCTTATCTCTAGTTTTAGATCTCCTTTTAACAATTACCAGGTACATTTAGCTGTGATGGGAGTTGCCTAGAGACTGAGTACACTTCCCACCCCCAGAAAACGGCTTGGAGAGATAAGGGCCAAAGGGATAAAAGGCAATTTTATTTTCAGAGCAGGGACAGAGAAGAAAAAAGAGAAAGGAAGAACTGGATGGGTAAGAACTGGAGAGGAACAAACTGAGATGGGGAAGAACTAGATAAGAAGAGAACTGGATTAGAGGAGAACTGGATCGAAGGACTAGAGAGAACTAGAAGGACGAGATGGACGATGAGGAAGAGGGAAGAACTGGGTGGGTAAGAACGAGATGAGAAAGACCAAGATGGGGCAGAATTAAATAAAGGAATTGTCATATTTTATTTGCACCCCAATAAAACTTATCTGAGGACCAGAGGAAAAAGCCAGCCACTATATTAAATATAGGAGTCAGGCAATGGTAGCACACACCATTAATCTTAGCATTCAGGAGGCAGGGATCCATCTGGATCTCTGAGTTCAAGGCCACACTGGGAACAGAGCCAGGTATGGTGGCACACGCCTTTAATTCCCAGCACTAGTTAACCATAGAGGTCTGTAGGTCTGTACAGACAGACCGGAAGTGATAGAGCTGGGTGGAAAGAGGACCCCAGTAAGTAAGTCAGAGGGCAGGGACAGAAAGGCATATAGGCGTGGATATTACAGGAAGTAGGTCTCTTTGGAGGCTGAGGAGTCGGTAAGGTGAGGATGGCTGTGGCTTGTCCTATTCCTGTGATCTCTGTTTTCACCCCAATATCTGGCTCCGGGTTTTTAATTAATAAGACCATTTAGCAATTTGTCTTATAAGGAATTAAGGTAGTCTTAGAGGGAACAGCAGAAAGATGTAAAGAGAATCAGGAAAGAAAGGAGCTAAGTGTGAGAGCAGAAAAGAAGCTATGTAGAGAGAACTGGCTCAGAAGAATAAAGTGTATGGACTAAAGAGTTTCGTGCATGTAGATTCATTTAATATCATTAAAGATTAGATTATCAGCTGGTTGTAGATTTTTTCACAGACCCTGAGAGTGGGCTATCGAGCGGCTGGACCCCAATAGTCCCCATTACTTACATGCAGGCAAAACACCCATACACATAAGCAAGATTGTGTGTGTGTGTGTGTGTGTGTGTGTGTGTGTGTGTGTGTGTGTGTGATGTCAGGTGAGTGCAGGTACCTTAGGAGTCTAGAAGAAGGCTCTGGATCCTTTAGAGCTGGAGTTACAAGCAATTCCCCATGTAGGTGCTGGAAACCAAACTCTGGTCCTTTGGAAGAACAGGAAGTGCTCTTACCTGCCGAGCCATCTCCCTAGGCCTTCATTAAGAAATTTTGAATTGGTGAGGGGACAGCTGGGATGTAGCTGAGTTGGTAGAGTGCACTCAGCACGATTTAATGGAACAGATGAGACTTGTCTTGGGAAAACTACCTTTGTGATCATGGTGTCCTGCCAGGTAAACATTTCCTTCCATGACTGACTTGCCGCTTCTCTTGTACTATTTCTTTTTTTTTTTTTTTTAAAGATTTATTTATTTATTATATATACAGCATGTATGACTGCAGGCCAGAAGAGGGCACCTGATCTCATTACAGATGGTTGTGAGCTACCATGTGGTTGCTGGGAATTGAACTCAGGACCTCTGGAAGAGCAATCAGTGCTCTTAACCTCTGAGCCATCTCTCCAGCCCCCATCTCTTGTACTATTTCTTTGGGGTCAGCTGCTGCAGTAGTTGCTTTTCATTGTCAACATGGGCTGAATTTAGAGTCCCAATGGAATCACCTGTGCTGTGTATGTCTTTCTGTATGCTGTGAATATGTGTTGCTCTGATTGGTTGATAAATAAAGCTGTTTGGCCTATGGCAAGGCAACTTAGAGGCAGGTGGGAAATCCAAACAGATAGACAGGAAGAGAAAGGAGAGGCAAGGCAGATGCTGCGAGCCGCTGCCAGGAGAAACAAGATGTAGAGGTACCGGTAAGCCATGAGGCAAAGTATAGATTTATAGAAATGGGTTAATTTAAGATATAAGAGCTAGCTAGCAAGAAGCCTGCCATGGCCATAGTTTAAAAATAATATAAGCCTCTGTGTGTTTATTTGGGACCAAGCGGCTGTGGGACGGGGGATGGAGAGATTCTGCAGGACCGGAGAAAACTTCTGGCTAGACACCTGTGTGTCTCTGTGAGCGTGCTTCCAGGATGATATAAATGAGGAGGGAGGACCTAGCCTGAATGTAGGAGCACCATCCCGTAGGCTGGGGCTTGGGGGGTGAATAAAAAGACAGCAAATTAAGCACCCACACTTACCTCTCTCTCTTTGCAGACACAGCGTGGCAGCCATCTTCTTCCATATCCGCCACCAACCCTTCCCTGTCCTGATGGACTGTGTCCTCAGACTCTGAGCCAAACAACCCTTCCTTCCTTAAATTGGTTTTTGTCAGATACTTTGTTACAATGAGAAAAATAACTAATACAGAAAATTGGGGACTGGGACTTTTCTGTGATAAACCTGTGTGGTTCTTAGGCCTTTAGAACTAGTTTGCAGGAGAAATGGGGGAGAGTTGGAAGCTGCAGGCTAGAGAAGCCCTAGAATACTGTAAGCAGGGCTTGACAGGGCCATTCTGGTGGGAGTTTAGAAAACCAGAATGAGCTGGGTGGTGGCAGTGGTGCACATGTTTAATTCCAGCACTTGGGAGGCAGAGGCAGGTGGATTTGTGAGTTAGAGGCCAGCCTGGTCTACAGAGCGAGTCCTGGGACTTATACAAAGAAATGCTGTCTTGAACCCCCCCCCCCCCAAAAAAAAAAAACAAAACAAAACAAAACAGAATGCTAAGAGAAATAGAACAGTGGAGGCCCAGCTCATGAGTTTCAGGAGGAACAAGTACTATATCAGGGACTGTGTTAGAGGCAGTTTGTATTATACTCTTGAGAAGAAACCAGATGCAATTCTGCCTGTGTCCTGAAAACTTGAAGGCGGTGCAGTTTTTAAAAGTTTGTTTTTATATGTGATGTGTATGAAACACACTTTGTCCCTGGAGTCAGAGGCAGTGAAAGAAATATGCCCTGGCCTCAAAGCCAAAACTAAGAAAGGCCAGTGAAAGAAACACAGTTAGGCTCTGAAATTAGGGCCATCTCTGACCCTGACCAATGAAACTAACCAGTCTCTGAGCAGGAAAAACTAACCAGTCCCTGAACAGAAAATCTTCTCCCTGGAGAAACTCCACCCCCAAGAAGCCCTATATAAACCACCCTGCCTGTTCAGCTGTTGGCTGTTCTTTCCCACTCGGGCAGAGGTAGTCACTCTCCTGGACGACTCCTTCCCAAATAAATCTCTTTCTCAAAAGAATCTTGGGTGTGAAGATCTTCATTTGTCAGTGCGGAGAAGAACCTTGCCAAGACTCTTGCCAAGACTCGCTTAGGGGACTGAGCAGAAAAAACCTTGCAGAGACGTTCTCTTAGCGGGGGCTAAGCAAGGCGAAGCTGAAGAGAATCTTGCTGAGACATCCCTTAGGGAACTGAGCAAAGGCGGAGCAGAAAAAGTAACAACTTTTTGCAGGAGCAGAGGAGATTGCTACATTTCTGCGGGGAATTTCCTCTTTAGTGAAACAAAAGAAGCAACATCTTGGGCTGAAGAAGAAGCAGAGCTCTGCCTAGAAGCCCCCTTAAGTGGGAGCTGAGCAAATCAGCTGTAGCAGCTCTCCAGCAAAGGAGCAGGATTGCTATATCCTTCAGGGTGACCATTCCCCACCATACCCCAACTCCAGGTACAGCCTGACTCCCGAAGAGTCAGGATACCTTCCCTCCAGAGCTGAGCCGTCCCGTTGCGGCTCCAGGGGCCAGAGCTGTCCTGGCAGCTCCAGGTACAGCCTGACTCCCGAACAGTCAGGATACCTTCCCTCCAGAGCTGAGCTGTTGCATTGCAACTCCAGCTGTCAGAGCTGTCCTGGCAGTTTTTCCCCAGAGTTGCAACACTTGCTTACAGTATCTGTAGGCGTTTGGATTGGTATTGGTCTGCTAAGTTAATAGATAACAAAAGGTTCCCAGTACTCACAAGATGTTAGTTCTGACACAGATGGGTAAAGACTGGCTGCTCCAGAGGGCTAGAACTAGCCCCAAATGAGGTAATTATCCTCTGGATCTGCAACATCTCACTCTCTCCACAGTACTGAAAATTGAATCACTCAGTTTCTGCAAACATAGTTTCTTTTCAGGAGTTTTAGTTTACACTATGTAGACCAGGCTGACATGAGCTCACAGAAACCCATTTGTTTCTGCTGGGATTAAATAAGCCACTAGTCTATCTTATTTAAAAGACATGGTCTTTTACTGGACTGGAAACTGACAGTTTGAGCTAGGCTGGTCAGCCTGTAAGCTCTTGGGATTCACCTGTCCCACTCTCCAATGCTGGAGTTACAGGCATGTATGTACAGTCTCTGTTTTGTTTTCATCTGGTTTGGGGAGGGGGAAGAGATGACTCTGGTTGAGCACTTGTTGCTCTTGCAGAGGACCTGGGTTCAGTTCCTGGTACCCATATGGTGGTTCATAATTGTGATGGCTATTCTTGACTGTGAACTTGACTACACTAGAATTAACTAAAAACCAAGCAGCTGGGTACACTTGTGAGGGATTTTTCTTGATTGAATTATTTGAAGTGGGAAGACCTACCCTAAATCTGGATCTTCTGAGGTGGGAAGATCCACCTTAACTTTGGGCCACACCTTCTGGTGGCAGGCTGTGTAAAGGACATGGAAGAAAGAAGCTTTTTCTCTTTGCCTGCTTGCCCTCACTCTCATTGGCAAGACCATTCCTTCACTGGTAGTAGAGCCGACTTCTTCAGGATTCCAGCTGAGACATCCAGCCTGAGGACTGAACAACCACTGGGTTCTTGGATTTTCCATCAGGAGACAGCTATTATTGGAACAGTCAGACCATAATCTATACCTGTAAGCCATGCTAAAAAATCCCACACACATATATAGAATATATATATTCTGTCAGTTCTATCTGTTTCTCCAGAGAACACTGACTAATACAATAACCATCTGTAACCCCAATTCAAGGGGCTCTAGTGACCTCTTCTGAACTCTGCAGGGTATCAGGCATGTATGTGGTGCTCATACATACATGTAGATAAACACTCATAAAATAAATCTATAAAGAAAGAAATGTGGTTGGTGGAGTTTTGAAAGCAGATCCTCTTGCTTTCACAGCAAGCACTCTTACCCACTGAACCATCTCCCTAACCCAAATGAAGTACAATTAAAAAAAGTGATGTGCCAAGTTGACAAGGGGTAGAACTGTGACAGTTAACCTTTATTGCAAACATGGCTGGATTTAGAATCACCATGGAAACACATCTCTGGGTATATCTATGAAAGTGTTTCTAGTCTATGGCCATACCACCCTGAATGCACCTGATCTCATCTGTTCTAGGAAGCTAAGCAAGATCAGGCCTGGTTAGCACTTGGGTGGGAGACGGCCTGGGGATACTGTGTGCTGTAGGCTTAAAAAGAAAGAAAGGATTTCTAGAAAGGTTTGACCGAGGAAGGAAAACCCACTTTGAATTTAGTTTGCAATCTCCCATGGCTGGCATTCCAGACCAGGAAGAGAAGAGTTAGCCAAACACCAACATTTCTCTCTCTCTCCTTCATGACTATGGCTGTTAATGTTGCCACTACAAGCCTTCCTTGCCGTGACTGCTCACACTGAAAGCTGAAAATAAGCACTTATCCCCTTAAGTGGCATTTATCAAATATTTTATCACAGAAGAAAAGAATAGACAATAAAAGAAACTAACATACCTCTCCAAAGAAACTGTCAAATCCTAGACCCTGTGAATGCATTTGGAAGCCACTCACCTAAGACAGGACCACTTGTTTATTCTCCTTGTTCTGCAATTATTATTATTTATTATTATTATTATTTTGTAGTTTTTTGAGACTGAGTTTCTCTGTGTTGCCCTGACTGTCTTGGAACTAGCTTTGTAGACCAGGCTGACCTCACAGAGATCTGCCTACCTCTGCCTCCTAAGTGCTAGGATTAAAGGCGTATACCACTACGCCTGGTATTGCTCTGAAAATTTACAGTGATGTGTATTTAATTTTGGGGGGGGGTAAGGAACGTTAAAATAAACTTTTATTTGTCTGTGTGAGTGTGAGGGTGCAGAGGTCGAAGGGAGTAGGATGTCCTCTTCCATCACCCATGTTTACCCCTTTCGAGGCAGAGTCTCTCCTTCCATCTGGGGCTTGTGTTTTCTTGGGCAGGCGGCTGATCAGCCAGCCCCCGGGCTATCTTCCTACCTCTTCCCTTCTTGAAGCTGGGGTAACAGGCATTTACAGCAACACCTGGATTGTTACATGGATCCAAACTCAGGTCCTCGTGGCGCAGAATAGGTGCTCTTAACCACGGAGCCATTTCTCCTGCTCCTCAATTGTTTTGAAACCCATAGAATGGGCCCCTCAGGTGCCCTGTTCACTTTGGACTTTCAGTTGTAGAAGTGTTTTATTCTAGAACTCCTTTTCCATTAGGTTCTGTTCTTTCTTAGGATCTGTTCGTTTGAAGTAGAGCCTTCTGATTTTTACCCTCCTGCTCTCAGGCTTCCTTAAGAAAAGCTCAAGGTTGGTGGAGCATGGAAATATAGACCAGTGTTCTAAATACTCTAGAGCAGTGGTTCTCAGTCTTCCTAGTGACGGGACCCTTTAATACAGCTCCTCATCTTGTGGTGACCCCAACCACAAAATTATTGTGTTGCTACATCATAACTGATTTTGCTATTATTATGAATCGTAATGTAAATATCTGTGGTTTTCAATGGTCTTAGGCAACCACTGTGAAATGTTGTTCAACTGTCACAGGGGTGGAGATCCACAGGTTGAGAATCACTGCTCTGTAGGCTAAGGCAGGAGAATTGACAGTTCTAAGCCAACCTACACTACATAGTGAGTCCCAGGATGGCCTGGGCTACACAATGAGATCATTAAAAAAAAAAAAAGAAAAAAAGAAAAAAGAAAACAAAATGAAGAGGAAGAAAATAGAAAATCAAAATCAAAGGGATGTGGTGCTACAAGTCCATAATGCCAGTGATCAAGAGGTCAAACAGAAGAACAGAGTTCAAGGCCAGACAGGTCGGAGCTGGACTCTGACATGTCCAAGGGTTCTTGGGGGGAGGAGTGAGGAATGAGGAAATGTTAGATAGAAATATAGACGTAGATGGAGAGAAAGAAAGACAGAGACACAGGATCGCTTCGGGAGGGCCCCGGGTCAATACCCAGTCGCCCCGACTTTATTCATAATGGGCCTTTTATCCATCATCGAGGGATGGGCAAAAGACCTCCCTCTTCCAAGGTCGAGGTATAAAGTACCAACAAGCATAGACCCTTCAAAACACCTGGTAACCACGCCCTTGGCCAAATCATTCCATTATGCAGCCCTGCTGGGCAAAGCAAGCTCAGACTTTCTGACCTGAGTAAGACCTTACTAGGGAGCCTCTGTGGGGCCCTATTAAGCCTGGGCTGTATAAAGCCCGTTTCTCTCTCTCTCTGTCTCTCTGTGTGTCTCTCTCTCTGTGTCTCTCTGTCTGTCTGTCTGTTTCTCTCTCTCTCTGTGTTTCTCTGTGTGTGTGTTTCTCTCTCTCTCTCTCTCTCTCTCTCTCTCTCTCTCTCTCTCTCTCTCTCACACACACACACACACACACACACACACACACACACACACACACCCCAAAGCACAAAAGGAACAAAAAAGGATAGTTAAAAAAAATCTATTTCCAGGTGAAGTGGTGCATGCCTGTAATCCCAGCACTGGGGAGTAGAGGCAGGGGGATTGGGATTTCAAGTCACCCTCTGTTGAATTCTAGGCCACCTAGGCTATGTGAGGCTCTGTCTCACAACAGTCTGTTTATCCCACCTAGGATAAGATACTGACCAATACCTCACTATTTATTTTATGTTCTAGTATACTTAGATTAGTTTTGTTTGGGCGATCTTGTTTATTCATTACTTGAAACTCTTTCCTTTTTCTTCCTCTTCTCCTTTTCTTTTTCTCCTTCTTTATTCTTGAGACAAGGTCTCAGTCTGCATCCTGACTGGTCTAGAACTCATAATGTTGCGCAGGCTGGTCTTGAACTCTTGGTTCTCCTCCTGCTCGAGTCTCCCAAGTGCTGGGATTGCAGGTATAAGATATCATATCTCGAGTTTTTCTTTCGATTGTAATTTTTTATAACATTCTCATCTTGTTCTAGGAATATTATAATTTTGGGGAGTTGGAAGCTTGAGACAATGTCTCACAATTTAGCCCTGGCTGGCACTGAACTCATGATTTAGCCCTGGCTGGCACTGAACTCACTGTTTAGCCCTGGCTGGCACTGAACTCACTGTTTAGCCCTGGCTGGCACTGAACTCATGATTTAGCCCTGGCTGTCACTGAACTCACTGTTTAGCCCTGGCTGGCACTGAACTCATGATTTAGCCCTGGCTGGCACTGAACTCACTGTTTAGCCCTGGCTGGCACTGAACTCACTGTTTAGCCCTGGCTGGCACTGAACTTACTGTTTAGCCCTGGCTGGCACTGAACTTACTGTTTAGCCCTGGCTGGCACTGAACTCACTATTTAGCTCTGGTTGGCACTGAACTCACTGTTTAGCCCTGGCTGGCACTGAACTTGTAGAGAGCTACCTGCCTCTGCCTGGGATTCAAGGTGTGAACCACAATGCTCGGCTCACTCTTACCCATGCCATGATTTTAATGTTTCTGGTTCCTCATATGGCTCCCAAATTTTCAGCTTTGGCTTTATCTACATAGAGAACACAAACAGAATGGCTGGACTGAGGAGACCATGGGCGAACTGCTGTACAGTTAGAATAGCCGTTCCTCCACTGTGTGATTTAAATGACTTCCTAAAGGGCCTTTCTGTCTCCTGTCTCATTTTCTAAGCTCACGATTTGCACTGCGTTTAGTTCTAACTCACACAGTTCTCATAAAACTTTCCCGATCATCTAGCCCTTCCATGTTTTAAACTTGACAGACTTCCTTCCCACTGTCCCTACATTCACCCCATGTACTTGCAGGTTGCAGCCAGATGGATCACGGGTTTCCTTTCATGCTCACTGAATAACTAACTGGAAGGCCCCACACCTGCTCACCCTTCACCTCTGTTCGTGTTGCCCGAAGCCTTCCCTGATCCGCTTCTTTCTTCAGTTACCACAGAGCTTGGAAGGACTCCCTCCCTCTGAGCTGTCCCCATTTTGTTTGTGATCTGGATGTACCATGTTCACCTTTTGGATTCAGCATGGCAGAGTCTAATAACACCAAAAGCAGAATGGCCTTCTCAGCCCATAATCTTCCTATGTCTAATCCTGGCTCAGTAAACGCTCAGTGAAAGCTCTTTCTAAAAGAACCAGAAATTCAAGTGCATTTAAAAAAACTTTGAGGCATTCTTATTATATAGCTATGGCTAGCCTGGAACTCACTTGGTAGCCCAGGCTGGCCTCGAACTCACAGAGATCCACCTGCCTCTGCCTCCCGAGTGCCAGGACCAAAAGTGTGTGTCACCATGCCTGGCTTCCAGTGATTTTTTGAGGACTTAACCTGAAACAGTAAGAGGTGGTTATGGTAACGTTACCAAGGGGCTGATAAAGTCCTAGATTATCTAGGACTTCGTTCCTTTCCTGCCCTTCAGATGGATTCCAGTAGCTTCGTCTTTGAAACCGAGATGAAAGGAATCCAAGAATGAGATCCTAAGATGTGCTGCTGTTAGAATTGTCTAGTTAAAAAAGGATGAACTTGGGGTTTTATATTCCGTTGCTTGCAAGCCTCGTGGAAGTAATGAACGTGAAAGTTGAGAGCAGTCTGCTGCTGAATCAAGGCCACACAGTGATCTTCGTGGGGGAATGGGGGAGATCCCTGCTCCCTGGGGGCTTTCCATCTGTGATCTGAAGATCTCCAAATGACCGGTCCTCAGGACAGTGATATCTGGGACCTATCTCCCAGACTGAGTCTTCTCAGGTCTGGGAGGGTCTTACCTTATACAAAGTGTCCAGTATTGACCCACGGGGTGAGGAAGGAGAAGTCCATTGAGCAGACAAAGAAGGGGAGATAAGTTTGTTTATAGGTGAATGACTATTCTCTCAAGTATTTGAAATGATATCAGAAAATTAGAAATGTTTTAAAAACAACTCCCTGCTACTCATGTTATTTTCATATCTTCTGATCGCTAATCCTAGGCTACAGCTTGAACATAAGAATGAGAAATAATTTCTGGCTTCATGAGTTATGGCTACTGCTTAGACAGAATTCCTTTTCATTCTTTTAACTCAGAGGATCAATTTGCTGAATTCTTTCCAGTTTGACTTTGTATTTTTTTTTTTTTTTTTTTTTTTTTTAAATTTATTTATTTATTATGTATACAGTGTTCTGTCTGCATGTATCCCTACACACCAGAAGAGGGAACCAGTCTCATTACAGATGGTTGTGAGCCACCATGTGGTTGCTGGGAATTGAACTCAGGACCTCTGGAAGAGCAGCCAGTGCTCTTAACCTCTGAGCCATCTCTCCAGCCCCTTGACTTTGTATTTTTAAGAAAGATTGTTTGCTTACTTTTATGTGCAGGAGTGTCTTGTCTGCATGTATGCCCCGGCACCACGTACACGTGTTCCTCCTGCCTGGGGAGGTCAGAAGGGCGCATCTGGACCTTCGGAACTGGAGCTGTGATTCACAGTGTGGGCACTGGGAACCAAATCTGGGTCTTCTGCTAGAGTAACAAATGCTCTTAGCCACTGAGTCTTCTCTCCAGTCGCCATCTTTCTATTTATAAAATGTAACTGTGTAACATTCAGTGTAAGCATAATATAACACATTAAAACATGTACATCTGGGGCTTGGAAGTTGGCTCAGCTGTTGAGAGCACTTGTTCTTCCCAGGACTCGGTTCGAGTCCCACAAACTGCATGGCGGCTCTAACTCCAGTTCCAGGGGATCCAGTGGCCACTCTGTCCTCTGCAGGTATCAGTCATACACACAGGCCAAAAACCCATACACATAAAAAGTAATCTAAAAATATGGATGCTCTATTTATTTTCCTTTTCTTGAATTGCTTACTGTGGGTAAAACATGGTAGGTACTGTCAGAATAAAGAGTTTTATTTTCAGTAGCAATGACTTAGAGAAACTGTGCTCCTTTTATTTTCTGAGATGGAGTCTTTGCATGTGTTCAAGGTCTCCAACCCTGGGCTCAAGTGATCCTCCTGTCTCAGGCTCCTGAGTGCTGGATGGAAGGTGTGTGTCACCATACCTGGTTAATGTGTGTGGTAGTTTGAATATAATTGCCCCATAATCTCATAGTACTGTTAGGAGGTTGCCTTTGTTGATGTGGGTGGGCTTTGAGGTTTCCTATGCTCAGGATACCGCCCAGTGTGTCAGTCGACTTCCTGTTGCCTGCAACATGTAAGACCCTCAGCTGCTGTAGCACCATGTCTGCCTGCATGCTGCCATGCTCTCTATCACAATAGTGGACTGAACCTCTGAAACCGTAAACATGCCACCCCAATCAAATGTTTTCTTTGTTAGTTGCCATGGTCATGGACAGCAATAAAAATCCCAACTAAGACAATGTGTGTCTGATGCTATTCTTGCTGAAACATTCTTGGAAGCTGGGTCTGTTGGCGTAGGCTGGTGATGGAAACTACTTGGGGCCCTGAGGGAGGATTATCTCAAGTTCTGGGTCAGTCTGGACAATAGTGTGAGTTCAAGGCCAGGTTGGCAAGTTAGTGAGACTATGTCTTAAAGTCATCAGAGAGACAATCAAAACAAAACAAAACAAAAAACAAAACAACCAAGTTACAAAAAGGACTAGAGGGATGTGGCTCAGTGGTACAGATCTTGCCTAGTGTGTGAGGTACTGAGTTCAGTCATCAACACTGTATAAAAACAAAACCCAAGAAACAAACTTGACCCATCTCCAGTTCTTGGAGCACTTCATCTTTTATACTTATTTTATGTTTGAGACAGGGTCACTCTGTTATGTAGCTCTGGCTGCCCTGGAATTTGATATGTAGAAGAGGCTGGCCCAAGTGCTGGGATTAAAGCTGTGCCCGACCATGCCCAGCCCTGTAAATTTTTTTTTTTTTTTTTTGAGACAAGGTTTCTCCTTGCAGCTCTGGCTGTCCTGGAACTCGCTCTGTAGACCAGGCTGGCCTCAAACTCAGAGATCTGCCTGCCTCTGCCTCCCGAGTGTTGGGATTAAAGTGGTGTGCCACCACTGCTCTGCTAAATGTTTTAAAAGTTACATTTATGTGTGTTTGTGTGTGAGCACAGAGGATAACTTTCAGGAGTCAATTCTCTCCTTCCAGCATGTGGGTCTCTGGGGTCAAATGCATGGGATAATCGGGTGTGGTAACAGGCACCTTTACCTGCTGAGGTGTGCTCCAGCTCAAGAGTCTATTTTGTCTCAGGCATGTCAGTCCACAGCCTGTTCTCCAGGAACCCATTTAATGGCACATCCATCCCCCTTGGTAGACAGTGCTTGCCAGCGCAGGCATCCCAGGCATCAGGAGCTCCGGGAGAGAGCTTTTCTGGGGTCTGTGTCCTTTGACAGTGGGGTTGATCCTTGCTAGATGAACTGGAATCCAATAAGAACAGGACTAGGGAGACATGGGCACTTCACCAAGAGAGCATAGTTTTTCCAGTTGTTGTTTGTTTTTATGTAAGCCCAGGGGAGGGGAGAAGGGCTCACATTACAGACAGTAGTGATAATCCCAGGTACCTGGGGGAGAGATCAGAGTTAGTGTGCTTATCCTATGGGGGCAATGTAAGTTGTGGGGTGACTTAGAAGATTCATTGCAGCACCAGGCCTGGGCTAGAGGACAGAGAAAGATGAGGTGTGAGACTAATGTACAGCAGGTGTAGGCTGTACCTGCTGAGAACAGAGAGCTCCCCTCTACTTCCTACCGGTAACTCTCAGAAGTTTGACAGCACTCTTTAGTATTCAAAACTGTAAAGATCTACAGTGCAGATCGATTGTATTCGTTTTCTGATTCTGTTGATAAAACGCCTGAGACAGATGTGAAAGGAGGAAAGGTTTACTTGGGTCACAGTTTGGGAGTTTTCAGTCGGTGGTTGATGTGGCTCTGTAAATGTGGCAAGCTGTTTGCCTGAGGGAGGATGGCAAGCAGCGAGGGACAGGAAGGTGCCAGGGTACCTCCTCCAAGACATGCCCCGGATGACTTACTTTCTCTCACTAGGCGCTACCCACTTGTGGTGGCTTGAATTAGCTGGCCTCCTAGCATGTCCAGAAGACAGTGTTTCACACAGTCCTTCTTATCCTCTGGCTCTTACGTTATTTCTTCCTCCTCTTCTGCAACCTCCCTGGGTCTTGGAGAGGGTGATACAGATGTTTTGTTCAGGGTCGAGAACCCAACAGTCCCTTATTCTCTGCATTTTGACCGGTTCTGAGTCTTTGCAAACCAAAGCTCCTTTGACCAAGGTCTGGGGATGAATGCAGTTATTTAAAGCCCCCAGTCAACCGGAAGCCTGTTAAGCAAACAACAGGAGCAGTTTCCCTCCTTGGGCCTCTGACCTCCCCGGCCATGGGCTTTTGACCAGATTTACAGTACCAGAGTTCTCTCTTGTGGAGCAGCCCTAAAATCCTGGGAGGAAGTAGCTGATTACCCCCATAGTAGTCATAGTAGTCATGCATTATTGCACCAGTGAGCATGTCTTGCCTGGCAGGTTGGTATTGTAGCTTGAAGGGTTGACGACTGGGTGGGACTACTGATGAATTTTCTCCTTAAGCAGCTTAGACCTCTTGGCACAATGAAAGCTAGCCAGCAGGGAAGAAACTTTCAGCTCAGATCCAGTTTGATTTCTGAGCTTACTTCTCACCATCAGGTACCTGAAAGATGAGTCCAGGCTAGGTGTGGCTGTGCGTGCCTGGAATCCCAGCACTCAGGAGTCTGAGACAGGTGAATTCCTGTGAGTTTAAGGCCAGCTCGGGCTACGTAGTGAGACCCTGTGTACTGGTTAGTTTCTATTGTCATCTCCGTAAAAACTAGAGTCAGCTGGGAAGAGGGGACCTCAGCTGATGAACTGTGACATCAGATTGGTCTGTGGGTGTGCCTGTGGGGGACTGATATGTGGTTGGCCCCAGCCTACTATGGGCAGTGCCATTCCTAGGCAAGTGGGTCTGGGCTGTTTAAGGAAGCAAGCTGAGCCACGCCAGGGACAGCATGCTAGCAAGCAGCGTTCCTCCGTGGTTTCTGCTTCAGTCTCCTGCCTTGAGTTCCTGCCGTGGCTTCCCTCAAGGGTGTCCTGTAACCTACAAGATGGCATGAATTCTACCCAAGGTTTTATTTTTTTATTTTATTTTGTCATAGTTTTTACCGCAGCAGCAGAAAAACAAGCTAAAACACAGTCTCCAAAAACAAAAAGAAAACCAAACAAAAGGTCTGAGAATGAGTAATAGCTTTGGCTTCATCACTGGACTAGTGGGGTCCTGTCTTAGAGTTTCTATTGCTGTAACAAAACACCGTGACCAGAAAGCAAACTGGAGAGGAGGAAAGGGTTTAATTTGGCCTACACTTCCACATTACTGTTCACCACCGAAGGAAGTCAGGACAGGAACTTGAATAGGGCAGGATCCTGGAGGTAGGAGCTGTTGCAGAGACCATGGAGGGGTGCTGTTTACTGACTTGCTCCCTATGGCTTGCTTAGCCCACCTTCTTATAGCACTCAGGACCACCAGCCCAGGGATGGCACCACCCACCATGGGCTGGGCCCTCCCGCACTGATCACTAATTGAGAAACTGCCTTGCAGCTGGATCTCATGGAGGCATTTCCTCAACTGAGGCTCCTTCCTTTCTGATGACTCTTAACTTGTGTCAAGTTGACACACAAAACCAGCCAGTACAGATCTTTAGTCCTGGAACCACATACCAGACTTTGATGTGGGGGTGTTATTCTTCTGAGTCTGGAACATCTGTCACCCATGTTTCTGTTGGTACCCCTCCTTCAGCAGTTAGCTCAAGTGCTGTTTCCCAGAAACCTTTCCTCTTCCAATCTAATACACAGAACACAGATACCCTCTATCACAGCACACTTGACTGTAGTCTACCTGCCTGCCTTCTCTAGTAGATAGGTACTTCATGAAAAGAAGATTTAACTCTGTTACTGTTTGTAAGGCCTTTGCTCATAAGGAACTCTTGGTATTTCTAAGTTAAGAGCTGTCAGCCTTGAAAGTTTTAAAGCTTAAGGCAGTAGGCTCAAAACTTTTAAACACATAAATTGCGGATCATTTAATTATATCATCTTACACGCAGTGTATGGACTGGATTTAAGACTGAAATAGAGCTATTGCAGATAGAAAAATCT